CTTTATTTTTTTTTTTTTTTCAACATCTATTCCTACCCCTCTTTTATCGCGTTGGTTTCAGACCAAACCAAAGAGTTTCTCGCCGCGAGATCCCACCTCTTCCCCCAAAAAATTACAATACCGGCCACAATATTCGGCCGCGTAATATTAATCGCGAGTAACGGTCGATACTTAAGAGCCTAGCGTTATTTCCTCCCTCCTCTGGCGCACTCCTCGAGGATTACGTAACGTTGCGCGGCCTCCTCTTACGATCACTATTCCTCCGTCAGCCCTGCCTTCGAGGACGTAAAAAAGACGCGTATAAAGGTTTTAATGCACGCCATTCAGTAATAGTATCGGTACAAATCAACGCGGGTTCGTTTTACTCGTCCCTAAAACTTCGTTTGCCGGGAGAGACGAAATAAAAACAAGCGGCGATAGTAAGCAGCGCGGCCTCGCAACGATACGATATGTTTAACGTTCAACGTTTATGCCACCTCCTCCTTACTTTAAGAATCTTTACGTTTAGATTAGTGTCTACGTGTATCTAAGCAACTACTTAAACTAGTTAAATTTCATGCCTCTGTTTTTCTTCGGTGCCGCTGCGCCTCGTCAGCTCCTTGTTCCTCTGATGCTCCGTAACGCCCTTGCACGGCTCAAGAACCCGTCTCTCAATGTGCGCAATTCCCTTCAAATCATTACAGTTAATGTGCGTGTTGTACTTAATACTTGGCGCCGGGATGAAAAAATTATAAAAAAAATAATTGATAAATCGACGGAACGCCGCTGTGTTATTTTCAATGCCTCGATTCCGCCAGCCATGGAAACTCTTTGAAAACGAAAGGACACGATCATTCTAATTTACTGACTACAGGTTAAAAGTGTCGGTAGACTACTGGAACAAAATAACTTCCAACGTGCAAAACAATGTTCGTCAGATGTGTTAAAAAAAACATTGACATGGATGCAAGACTTGTGCGCGCTAAAACCTTTAAAAAGTCATTATCATCGAGCTCCAGGGCTGGAAGGACTGGCAAGAAAAGGGTTTCAGGTTGTCCATCACATTGGTCAATTGGAGCACAAATCGTGTAAAACGCCACCGCGCAGCCGAAGGAAAAAGCGCGGAACTTAGGAGCTTCCCGCGAGACAGTTCCCGCACATAGGGTCCCGTGACATTAGCTTGTTTTATCCTTTGTATAAGTATATCTTATGTGTTATTTCTTCGCTCAACTCTCAATTTCTTAAAGACTAAGGTTCTCTGTTTTTTTTTTGTTTTTTTTTCTTTTTCTTTCTTCATTTTCGCTTAAGCTTATTCAAAAGAACGCCGCAGAGGAAGTGACGGGCGCGCGACGATTGTTTGTTTTCTTTTATTCTCTTTTTATCATTATATTATTCACCTGGAATAAACACGTTTGATCGTTAAAACATAACGATCCTGCCACGCGACAACTACACGATACTACTATCACTGTATAGCACGACTCTCGTCGGGCGCTCGTTTCTCCCCCTTCCGAGAAACTTCCATCACGTCATTTCGTATCTTTCTTTTTGTTTCACTATATGTTTATTCCTGTTTAAATCTATGCTTTTGTCGAGCTACATTTTGTTTTTAAAAATCCTTAACTCCTACTATGCATCAGTAAAATGCCTGCACCGGCCTCCGGGAATCAAGAACAGTGAAAAAAAAAAGTGATGAATGAAAAAAATTAAAAATAAAACAAAAAAATGTTACGCACGTTGTGTGCGATACATGTCATATCGTCAGCCGAGCAGAGCGCGTCACGCTTTGTAAAATATATTTATTTATATATATATATATATTTTGTTTTTTCGCTTACTATTTATTTGTTTTTTTTAATTTGTATGTCTTATTTTCATTTTTTGTGTTTGTTTGTTTCCGTAATATTCTGTACAAATATGAAGAGGACCGTCTGTCGAAAGCCCCTTTCCGCATCGTCTCGCTACAACCACGTTTGCCTTGATATTTGTTAATCATTAATATTATTTTTCCTGTTTACAATACACATCACTCCCTTTTTTTTCCATGCATTCAATTATAATAACATACGCTTGTAACTTCACAATCCTCCGGGGTTTTTTTTTTCTTATAGCCCTTTGTCACAAAAAAAAAAAAAAAAAAAAAAAAAAAAAAAAAAGATATTGAATGACAATCACAATCCATGGTATGTAGATATTAAATTTTTGTTTCGTGCATTATGCATATCNTACCCTCGCTCAATCTCGAAACTCAACAAATCGAGACAACCATTTCCATCTTTATAGTGACGAGTGAGGAAACGCCTCCTTATGTATCGCTAATGCACAGTGGCGCATAATTAACGTGGTGGTGGAAAAAAAAAAGAAAAAAAAAGAAGAAGAGAAAAGAAAAAAAAACGTCGACGGGCGAACGTCTTCCGGGAGCACACGAACAACTGCTGCGTGGCCATTGTTGCTGTCTCCCGTTACTTTCGAATGAAAAATTATCGCGGCTAGGAACGCTGTTTTTGCATACATGTGTCGTGTACCGTGTCTCTGTGTGTGTGCGTGTGTGTGTGTGTGTGTGTGTGTGTGTGTGTGTATTGTGTTCACTGCCATTAATTCGTGGCTCGCGTGTATACCGGCGTTCATCGAAGACCGTATCAAACGCAATTCTCAGCCCCGTGTCACCACCCTCCTCTTTTTCGGACGCACAAAAATATACCGCTACGAGGTCACGCACACTGCGGACAGCACACCTCGTCTGCGAAGCTTTCCCACACACTCTTTCCTATTTCCATTCCATCGTCAAACCACTCGAACTCTCGTTGTTTGACCCTTGGCTTCGCTCGTTTGACAATTCAAGACGCGCGCGCGTGGACTTTGCTCACGGATTATTATTATTATTTTTTGTTTTTTTTTCATTAAAACTGTCCAGTATATAATCACGTCGACGACGATGCGCGTCGAGCTAGATGAGGTCGTAAATATTGTTCATTCGTGTAAAACATTGTATTTCAGTCGTGTACGGCACTGGGGTACCAATAGTGGACGAGGGTGTAGGGCTGGAACCACTGCTGGGGCTCGTAAGCTGGCGGCCTCTCTTGTTAGATGTTGCTCTTGGAGAAGGAAACCCGCAAGTGGTTTGACTCGCTGAGCTGGTAGTTGTGCATTTTCTGCAAGGAAAAATCAAAATTAAATCAATTTTTTTTTTTTTTTTCTTTTCTTTTTTTTCGAGATGCTCCGCAAAACATCGCGATGATCCTTACAATGAGAGCCGCCACGGCGTCGTCCATAGAGGGCAACTGGATGAGGGCCATCTTTCGGTCCTTGGGGAAAAATTTGAAAGCCTTGACCGTGAAGTTATTCTTCGTGAAGGCCTCCTTGATCTCGTCCTCGGTTACCGTGGCTCTGCAACAACAACAAAAAAGGACATATTAATATTAATTTTTAAAAGAAGGAAGGAAAAGGCCAAGAGTGACAACTCACGGAATGTTTGACAAATGCAGAGTGGCGCTCGGGGGGTATATGTTTTGGTAATTCTTCGAGCCTGGCTTCTTGAAACGATGCAGGGGGCTGTTGGTGTAGTCTTTGGTCAAGCCGGCATCTGGCTGGCCTTCGCGCGGCAGCTGGACATTTTGGTGCTTACTCAGCATCACTCGGATCGGCTTGCCAAACACCTTGAGCTTGTCCATGTGGGTCATGGCTGTGGGATCGAGTGAGCAAAAGGAAAAACAAATATTGTTGTTAGATCACGCAAATGTACCTCTCTATGGCAAACAATTGTTGGAAAGGTGCAACAGAGCCAAATTATTTGTCATTATCATCTTACCCAGGTGAGCTTGGTGTGGTTCGGCTAATTGAATGAGTGCCGAGTCCTTCTTGTTGTACAAAATCTTCACACGTTGTACATCCCCATAAACGCCTGGACGCAAACATTTGAGGGAAAATTAATTGAGTTCAGGATATGGTTCGAGTTGGAAATTGAACAAAAAAAAAAAAACCTAATGAATAAAAAACTATTGGGATCCGATTCGTCAAAATTTCGTTACGGTTGGTCACATCGATTTTTGCAACTATAATGTGATTCGCATGCAGGAACCGTTCGCTTTTTTCTTATTTTCTAAATGACTGTAATTGTAAAATTATTTGAGAAATGTTTTCAGAATCTACATACATAATTTGTCATTTAAAACAGCGAACGGTTCGCAAATATGAGTATAATCAACGGATTTATGTACACCAAGCGAAAAGCTATTAAGTGCTATTCAATTTTGTAAATGATGATGATGAAAGATTTTGAAAAATGTTTTTGAAAATCATGACATGTGAGGCATTTATGATTGTTGGCAGAAAAAAGAAAAACAATTAATGAAACATGTACAAATTTTTTTTTCTCTTCCTCTCAATTGATAATTTATCATCACTATTCGCAAGATATAATAATTATGTAATGGCGAACGCAACGGTGAGGTAGAATAAAATGTTGAAAATGGATTGCATAGTGTTGAAGAAAAAACGAAAAATTTTAAAACATAAAAATTAGTGAAATGGAAAATATGAAGCTGTAAAATAAATAAAAAAGGCATCGAGAAAAATTATAAATAATTGAAAATTGAAAATTGAAAAAAGATGAATACTTTGGAAGATACTGATTTGAACGTGACTGTGTAACATGATGTTGTCGAATTATCAAAACAAAAACAAAAAAGAAAAACTTTTCCTCGCGACGTTTTTTTCTTTTCTTCAACTGACAAAAATCACAAAAACATTGATCAAACGGTGTCAAACATTATTACGATGTATAAAAATAGTTTAAAAATTAGAAAAAAAAAATCGCGCGTACTCAAGTGTTTTTATTCTTTTTTTTTCACATCAATTCAACGTGAACAAATATTCATACATGAAAAAAAATTGAAAAAAATTGAAAAAAAATTCAAAGTGTATCGGCATAATAACAATAACAATCGTGAGTGTAAATATACTATGGTTAATTAATGTAAATATAATTAATAATATAAATGTGAAGACGTACCAAACAGGGTAAAGAGAGCGTCAGGCGTGACCATCTACACAGAGAACAGAAAAAGAGTCCAGTCAATAGTCAGCGAGTAAATAGGATTCAATGTAAGTACAGTAAATAGGTGCGCACAAGCTTCGAAGGAAAGATGATTATTAAACTTCATTTCATGGCATTTTAATGCAACACACGAGAAATAAAAATTCGCGCACGAAAAAACCACGTATCCACAGTTACACTTGCGCGAGAACCACCAACTTTACGCACTTGATACTATTTGAATATCGAAAGCTTTCGAGAAAAAAAAAAATAAAATTGGGCGAGCTTGCGTGAAATTATTCAACTTTTCCGGGCGACGGGACAGAAGAGGTCGAATTAAAGCTCACGGCTGATTGATCATTATGTGGGAAAGATAAATCTCCCCGAGTTCTCGCGAGTGGTCTTTCTTCTCCGGTCACTTCATATTCCCTTTCTCGCGGCTTTTTTCTCTCGAGAGGTGAAAACAACTGCAACGCGAGACGATAAATCACACAGAGAGAAGCTTGTGCGCGCTTGAGCTTTTTGTTTTTTTTTTTATTGAAAAAAAGGGGGATGGGGAGAAAAAAAAAACAATAAATAAACGACAGTAGTACAACAGCATAACGACATAGTTATAGTACAGTATAAGTGACAAGTGGCAGCTGCAAAGTGTGAAACAAGTCGGCTCGCGCGGCGTATAGTATGTATTTATATTATATGGTTCAAGTATTCGTATTTGTGCATGTATACAGAGGCAAGCAGCACCAAGGCGTCCTCGTTTCATACAGTTCAGAGGTGGCAGAGCTAGTATAGAGTACTTATATCATTACATCATACGTGTGTTATTCGCTTCGTGTAGAAATTTGAAACAACGCCATCACCTGCAGGGGAAAAGTTGTCGATGCTATGGGCAATGATTTTTACAAGCGTTAATTTCAACGGTAATGTATATTTAACAACTGACGTAATATCTTTAAGTATACTTTTAAGCCGAAAAATATCCATTTAATAGTACCTTGATTAAAAAGATTTTTTCCTCTTTCATGGTTGTATTTTGTCAATAAGTATTGCGATTTTTCTTGAATATCAATTTACTCCGTAAAGTAATTTTAAGTGAGCACATTAAAGAGTAATATTTAACATGCTCACTTACACATTATACCCATTTCATACTAGAAATTTACTTTTTTTTCTTGAATTTACAAAAAAAGTATTATTTGCTATTAATGTGCTACTTGGGACTGAAAAAACTTATTTTAGTTGTTAAATATTTATTATTGTTGAAATAAACACTTGTAAATCGTTTTTCCCTGCAGGTGGTGTTGTTTCAAATTGCTACACGAGAGCGACGCATAGACTTAGGGTTTGTATACAGCGTAAGGTTTGGCAGAGTTTGAGAAAAGGCAAGTAAAGTACGCATGACATGTAATGTATAAAGATGTTACAATTGAACAGATCGTTGATAGAGGGTCGGTCGTGGTTGGCGTTTTTCGAGGACGCCTCGGTGACTCGCTTGCTATCTCTTACTTGGGCATAACTATTTCATGGACTTTCAAACGCTTTCAAGTGAAAGTTTTTTCCATAAATGCCATACAAATGTATTCACTTAACATACTTGTAACACGGTAATTACGCGACAAAAAATACTTTTAATAAAAAAAACATTAGTACCTCTTTTGTACACATTGTCTAGAACGAACAATGCATTTCATTTTTATGGAAATAAAATTTTAAAAAATTTCATCGCCAAGCGTTTGAAAAAGTACTTATGCCCAAGTCTGTTTTGTCGTGCACCTGACTGATTTTAATGTTCGTTCTCGAGTGTGAAAAAAATGTTCTGCATTGACTGAATCGAGAATGAATATCAATGTCTGTCTGGTGCAAATGTATTATTTTTACACAAGTATCTAATGAACAATCGACGTACACATGGATGATTATCCAATATACATGTGGTTGGAAAGCATGTTGTTTCAAAGTATCGGTATCTATGATCTACTTTGCAAGTATTACAGAGGATTATCTTAGACTCGATAGTAATCCAGGAGTGAGTTTTTGTTACAATTGTGTTGCTTTAGGATGTGTTGTAAAAGTCACAGGTGAGAAAAGGTCTAGAGCAGCAAAAGTTGTTGAAGCGTTTCTAAAAGTATGTATATCCAGGCGGTTGGCCGCTCGAGAAGATGGAAAATCGCTACGCTCATTTCCCCAAATGGGCGTGTGTTTGAAATACACTTTGCCCCGATGACGATGACAATCGCAGCATTCATTTTTTCATCCGCGGCGTTTGCCGAGGTGGGAGAATTTTTGCTGGCGCATGCGCCCTCCGAAAGGGAGAAAAATCCAATCTCGCCCCGTAAATATTTGAGCGGGGCGGTTTTCATTCTTCTCGAGTATCGCGGTCTAAAAATTTTAGAGGGCAATCGGTCTCTTTATTTAGCCTATATACGTGCAGCCGGCAATCGAGTGCGATTTGTTAAAGTTTTATCAGAGTTTTATGGATCCTCGATATTCGCAGTTCAGTGATTTTCTCTGATTAAAACGAAATCGCTGCTATACACGTATAGGTATATGTATGAGTGTTGTGTGTACTACTCGTTGCGATACAATGAAGCAAATATTATCTCTGGTGAGCTTTATGAATCTTCACAACGACACGCATTCTTCGTTACTATTACTCGTGTTAATTAAAATCGTATAGGATTATAGAAATTTGAGGACCGACAATACGTTATACCAAAATAATACGAAACGATTTTGTTTATCTAAATTTGTATTAATATAGAATAAAGTACGTTAGTGTGCTTTCAATGACACCCTTACCTAGTGAATTTGGGCTTGAATGTTTTATCAAATATATCACAATATTTTTCTAAAAAATTTTAATTATGCATTGTTTCAGTTAANTCTACAAACGCCTCCTGCTCGCCATCCTCTTGTTTATTTCTCGACACGCACTTCGCTATAAAGACGCTGATATTTCGGCAAAAGTTTTCTTATTTGTCGAGGAGTGTTTTTTGATCATACTTTTTCACCCCGATTCCTATTTTTGAATCAAATAACCAACTCAAAAGAGTGCTTAGCCTCAAAGTGATTTAGCTAGGGTTGTCTTCGGATTGCAACTCGTGTATTATCCATCACATGAATTTATAATAAAATTAAGATGTAAGTCCCAATTGTAAATTTCATCATTCATTAGGAATTACAAGTTTCAAGTTTGTATTTGTATGGATATTATTCATAATAAAATAAAAAAAATAGTAATAATACTTACGAATTTGGCGGACTGTGCGGAAACCATATCGGAATACTGGATGAGGGCCTGGAATGAGTCTGTAAGCAAAAAAAACGTGGGTGTCCTAAAATTTTCCGCAAAAACTCGCGCACCACTACGCTTACTCAAAGTTACGTCAACGCAATTAACTCTTCCCGACTTTTGAGCTTTTTGAGATAATAATTAGCCCCTCGCCGCCCCGTAATTGGTTTTACAGGGACCATTGTTCGCACGGATTCACAAAAGAGTTGGATACGAGTAGCCTGTATACGCTTTTGTTTTCTTACCAACATTGTGTGGGATCATTTCCTCGATTTGTAAAAAAAAAAAAATAATAATAAAAAGGGAAAACAACAAAATCCCAATCCAGTTCGGACGACTGTGACTCACCTCTTCGTTGAGATTGCTGATGAGCAGGACGCACGAAGGCTGAGGGCTGCCGGGCACGCGTACGCCAAGGGCACCAGCGCCGAGGTTGAACCCACCGAGGCCGGCAAGTCCGCCGGCTTGAGGCACGCCGTTGTAAGGGCCGGCGAGTGGTGACGGAAGGCCGTGCATCGTCGCGAAAGGCGAGGCCGCCAAGACGCTCGGTGCGCCTGCAATGGACTCTACTTCAGAAAAGTCACTCGGATTACTTGACACGTCCTTTTATTATTGCTTTTTTTCTCCTCTTCATTGTTACTTCGGATGTTTGTAAGCTTTTTTTTTTTTTGTTAATAACAGCAGGGTTTTTTTTGGAATGTTACTCATTTTTCTTTTTACAATTTTTGACAAATTTTGGAACTTTGACGTTTAAATACCACATGTACATATTGATTGTGAAATTTTAGTTTGGATGGTTTTCAATCATAATTTAAAAAATAATTTTGATGAAAACTAGAAATTTACTTTTTTTTCATGAAATTAAAAAAAAAGTATTATTTGCTATTAATATGCTACTTGGGACTGAAAAAACTTATTTTAGTTGTTAAATATTTATTATTGTTGAAATAAACACTTGTAAATCGTTTTTCCCTGCAGGTGGTGTTGTTTCAAATTGCTACACGAGAGCGACGCATAGACTTAGGGTTTGTATACAGCGTAAGGTTTGGCANTTTTTTTTTTTTTTTTTTCTACAAGACATTGAAAAATAGAATGGATGCAACACACACGTGCAAAGGTAGATGTAAATTTTTTACCTTGAAGACAATAGGATAGTTCACTCGTATGGACAGTTAAATTTTATAGATTCCAGAAAATACCATTTGTTAAAAAAAAGAATGTGTGATAACAGCTTAGTGAAGAAGTAACTCGCGAAAGATAAAAATGTTTGTTAGTCTTGAGGGTATATTGCTTAAACTAAAAAAAACACAGATAGTGAGGTATAGAGGGAAAGGGATGCGGTAAAATTTTTTTTTGTAATTTTACTCGAAAAATTGTAACGATTTTACTACATTAAAATAGGACTTCTTAACTTTCAATTTTTCTTTTTTCAATTATGTTAATGGAAACAACAAAACAAATATATTCCCCCGACCAGTTTGGTTTTTGCACAAAATAAATTACCTTACTTGTTTTTCCATCAGATAGTTGATGAAAATACATAGCACACGTGTTTTTACATATAAAAAACCGTGTGCCACATTATTTTTTTAAGCCACGTGATAAAAATAATTTTAATAATTACACCCAATTTTATTTTAAGTATAAAAAATTAATTGGCTCCTACGAAATCAAAATTACCTAAAAAAATTTTACCGTGAAAACGACAGGCAGTCTTAAAATAACTTAAGAAATTCGTCCTGGTTATAGAGTAGACGTAGTGTTACAGTGAACTAAGAGAAAAAATAGGAGCAAAAGCAATGTCTCAATCCAGTAGAGTAAACATGTTCTTTTGTCTCATACTTTTTGTTTCATTTTACAAGATTTCCTTTAAAAGCGTCAATTACGTAGTTATTGTACGTAGAGTAGCGCTCAAAAGTTCCGTTTGTACCAACTTTTACAAAGGTGATCATGCCAAATAAAAAAACTCGTTGCATCAAAAAAAAAAAAATGCATAGACTAATCTTTGCTTTTGCTTTTTGTATACATGCGTTGCGACAGATTCATTTATATCCAAAAACGCCAACACCATAACCAGGAAGAGCAGAGCTAAAACTTAAAAACTATATGCGCAATAGTTGATGAGCATGTAAATAAACGTAATGTATATAGAAGCAGGCAAGTCTGCACAGTAGTGAGTTTCTCATTTTGGCCGCATTCGTCAATTGCATTCAATCAGCCAGTAGAATAACGAAAAAAAACCGGAAATACTAAGAGTTTTTGAGAGAAAAAAAAAAAAAAAAAAAAAAAAAAAACACGAGAAAGAGAAATTTCCATAGTGTAATATTAAGGTGAAAATACACAATGAAGATAATGATAACAATATGTTTGTAAAGAACGAAAATAATGATGATCAAGTTGATGACGGTGAAAAATTATTTTTTTTTTTCATACAGGCTTTTAGAAGTAGAATGTTTTTTTGAAGTACACATAACTTGAGAGCTGAGCCGAGCAGCTGCAAGTATAAGTACATAAACATGAACGTAAAAAGAAAAAAAAAAATATATATATGTACAAGTAAAAAAAACGAACGCAATGCGAGAGCGTGAGTGTACATCACGTGTGACGAAAACGAGACACTCACCGGGCAGTCTGGCACGAGCCTGGGAGCCCGAGACCCCGAGGAGCAGCTGCGGCAGCAACTCACCTCCCAGTGCTAGGGACGCGGCGTCGAGGTTGGCGTCGCCGGTCGGCAGGTTCGGGTTCGTGTAGTCCCGCGACTTGTCATTATTGTACTTGACGTTTAAATTTTGCATCTTACTGTAGTCGATGCGCAGCGTGCAGCACGAGTTGTAGATATTCTGGCCGTCCAAGCTCTGAAAATTCCATACAGGGTGTTCATATCACGAAAACCGAAATTTGGCGGATCAACCAAACGTAAGAAGCAAGTCTAACTAATCGTCGCTTTTTTAATAATAAAATTTACATAAAGTTTTATTCAGATATAGCAACGTAATGGATATTCCAAACTTTTGTTTGTATCACGAGGACGAGAATTTTTTTGTACATTATAAACATATGAGTTTGTTTATCAACAATTTAGCTGTAGGTTCGCAAAGTAGAACAACAGTCTATTGTATTCTTGAAAAAATATCATAACACATTTTCGCCCATGTTTATAGTTAAAAAAAAAAAAAAACGAATAAAGAAAACTTTAAAACACCATCAACCATGGCAAACACTAATTTCCACGTGACCAAAGCTCTTTTTATCGTTGGGTTGACAGCTGAAATTAAAAAAAAAAAAAAAAACGAAACATCCACTTTTAGTTCAATAACAAAAAGTTTCGACAGTATTACCATTCGACGTATTATTTCAAATTTTATTCACTGTCATTCGACGCATCTTACAACAACAAAAAAAAAATTGACTTCGTAAATATACATTAATGAATAATATTGACTATTTTGATAGAGTAAGAGGTTCTTTGATTTTTCTCGAAAAATTATAGTAAACAAACATGCTTGACACAAGTCTCAACGTGCATGTTCATCAGAAAAACAAGGGTACAAAAAAAATGGGCGAATCCAGCGTTGCCCGTGAAAACCTTCATTTCTTGAACAAACGCGCACACGCATGATAACAATTCAGACGGCCTCGGGGCTCACCCGCGAGAAATCAAGGATGTAAATCAAATCCGACAGCGCGTTTACAAAACGTTGTACGCTCGCACGCGTATTGCGCACACACACACATCGAGCCTCCCCCAACACCGCACCACCCGCGCGGAAACGCCAAAAACACTCTGTATACCCTCCTTCCTTCCGCCTCGGCTCTTTAGCTTTCGTTAATAATCCACGCGGCAGCAGCGGAGGAGGCACTGCGTGCTGGCGTATACGTACACGCACACGCAACAAAATGGCCTGCGGTTGCGGTCAATTTCCAGAGATGGGCCGGCTTCTCCTCACCCCTCGTGTCTCTCTCGTGAGGCGCAAAAATCAAGCGTCCGAGTTTTCGCGTCCAACCGAGGCTTGATTATTTGCCAGCCGTGGTGCGGTTTTGCCAGCCTCCGCGTATTTTTGCCACGGGGTTCCGATAATTATTTGCTGCTTTGTCCTACCCACGTGGTACCGCTGCACGCTCTCCGTTATCGGAAAAATTAATCGAGCGCGTTTTGCCTCCATGTAACACGGCAGGGGCAGCTGTTTGATTTTCCTTTTCTCTTTTCCGCCCCGTAATTGGTTTTACAGGGACCATTGTTCGCACGGATTCACAAAAGAGTTGGATTACCACGCGCATTCGAATGAGCGGATACATTGACTCATGATTAGAGTTGCGAGTGACCGAGCTAATTGTCAAAAGCTGAATCGTGTATTCGCTTGTTTCACGACAATTTCACTAAATCCGAATAGTCGAGGTGGACAGAATAGAATTTTTAAAGAACTATCTTTAATGAATCGCTGATCATTTGCAAAAAAAATTTTTTTAAATATCTCTCAACTCTTTCGATCAAAACTTAATGTTCAACATGTCAAATATTTTATGAAATAGTTGTTGATGGTAGCAGACAAAAAAAAGGGATCGAGAGCAGTCACGAATATTTTTCCGTATTTTTTATCACCCAGAAGAGTCATAAAAAAGGGATGCACGACAAAATCAATGTATAAATACACGATACAACGATGTCAAATACGCGGTGTCGACATGCACACGCGCAGCCCAACTACACGCACAACCGAGTAACCCAGCACTATCTCTCCCTCTCTCTCTTTACAGCCCGAGGGAGGGTCCCCTTTCTCCCTCCGATGCATCAGCTTATTTGTCTTACGCGCCGTTTCGCTGCGAGTATACCTGCACAACGCTGTGCGTAAATAAATATTTATACATGACATACATACGTGCCAGCAAGCTTAAAAATTGGAACGGAGGGTTCAGCCCCAAGTTACACCGTATAGGTATACTGCCCGTCGGATCAGTCCCTACAATATTTAACACACGCGTCTGTACGCGAGTTGTGCAGCTTTTATTCATTAAAGAATAGTAGTAATTTTCTGCACACCATAATGTACCACAATTATCAGTGTTGGTGAAATTTTATTTTCAACACCTTCATAAAAACCCTTGACTTTTTCTTAACCCGTGCTTTACATCACAATTTTTAACTTTGCACTAATCACAGTTGCCGTAGCTGTGAAATATCGCTCCATCGTTTTATCAGCGTAAATGATTAATTAAAATTTCCGCGTTAACGAATCACAAAACGCGCGAATTACTTGATAATACGACGATTATAATATTAATTAACTTGGCACGAAATCTCTCGGTCGCAGGTGGGATAATAATAATAACAGATCGTTGCGCTTATAATAAACATATAGATATATACGTACATGCAAACAAATCCGTAAGCAGTTATCTCATTGTTGTTACTGTGATACAACATTGTCACGTAGAATTGCATATTATACCAACTCGGCATCGACTCTGGCAAGCGTATTTATCAAAGGAAAAAATCAACAGGAAAAATGGCGTACGATGGCGCACTCTAATATACTCGTGGTAATCAACGGAGGGAATATCTCTCAAATGCTCGGCATTGGGAGTAATCGAATGAATATATGACAGCGAAAACACGCGCGCGTCCTCGATACACCGACGATTTGCCGTGGCGTTGGGTTACACGAGCTCTCTGGTAATGGAGCGCCACGCGTCTTTTGGCTCATAGGAAACGGAGCGAGAGGCAATGGATGCGTAACGATTATGCGCGCTAGAGGATATACATGTTACACAGGGTGGGTGTATTTTAGGCCGATTAAAGATGTAATTACGCGAATTAGTCGGTGATTTTCGCCGATGGCCTTGTTTTGTGCGTGTAAGCGATCACGTGTTTGTATCCATGATAAACAGCCATTGGGGTGTGATTAGACTTGAACCTTCGTCGAACAACTCGATTATTGATGGGAAAAGAAAAAAATGAATAAAAAAGAACAAACCATGTAGAACCTATGTATAAGATCGATCGAAAGAAACGTGAGGTATGTGACTGCTTACCTACATATCCATGCACACACGGAAATTTTTTTAACAGCATCGTCGTGTCGATACGCGATTATTCGTCCATCACGAAGCTTCCTTTACGAGGACGCTAAAATAAACGGTAAAACCCTGACGCAAAATAAATCCATTCAGCCAGATAGACATGGCGAGGGAGCACAAAGCCCCCAGAATCCTCCGCTAATTAATTTATCGACTGCAAAGCGAAGCCGCGGAACCTCATTATAATAGAGCAACTTCACTGCAGCTCTTGCGCGAGCGCGTGTTCACGGGTATACATATATACGAGGTATAACGTCGTTCTTCTCCAAGGAGCAGCCGAAGAGGTAAATACGTGCATCGTAACGCGTACGCGTAGACGCGCATAACGCGTGTCTGGTGCCGCGAGGAGACGCGAGCGTTGAAAAGACGTAACCACGCGATGGTACGGGCACGGATTTAGCCGCGAGCGGGCTTTTAATCCCTTTTATAAATACCGGGAAGATCTCGCGTACGCGAGTAAAGTCTGTGGTGGGGGGGGGGGCTGAGCCCCCCGGGGGGTATGTTCGGATGAAATTCGTTCTACAAACGCCTCCTGCTCGCCATCCTCTTGTTTATTTCTCGACACGCACTTCGCTATAAAGACGCTGATATTTCGGCAAAAGTTTTCTTATTTGTCGAGGAGTGTTTTTTGATCATACTTTTTCACCCCGATTCCTATTTTTGAATCAAATAACCAACTCAAAAGAGTGCTTAGCCTCAAAGTGATTTAGCTAGGGTTGTCTTCGGATTGCAACTCGTGTATTATCCATCACATGAATTTATAATAAAATTAAGATGTAAGTCCCAATTGTAAATTTCATCATTCATTAGGAATTACAAGTTTCAAGTTTGTATTTGTATGGATATTATTCATAATAAAATAAAAAAAATAGTAATAATACTTACGAATTTGGCGGACTGTGCGGAAACCATATCGGAATACTGGATGAGGGCCTGGAATGAGTCTGTAAGCAAAAAAAACGTGGGTGTCCTAAAATTTTCCGCAAAAACTCGCGCACCACTACGCTTACTCAAAGTTACGTCAACGCAATTAACTCTTCCCGACTTTTGAGCTTTTTGAGATAATAATTAGCCCCTCGTAAAAAGTAATAATAATCGTGCGAGAGGGGAAACGCAAAAAAGCCCTTGAAAACCTTATTATCCCGCGACACAACTGTGTAATATACACACACGCGCGAAGCAGGTAAAAGGCGCCCTGGTGGCCCGGACTAACTCGATTTGGGAGTCGAGTAACGTAATTTTTGGGGACACAAAAATCCACCGTCGAGTCTTTGACTTCGCACGAGATGAAAAAAAAAAAAAAAAAATTTTTTTTAAAATAACATAGCCCGGTCCCTCCCAGCGAGTAATTTCGTAGTTAATTTCTTTTTTATCCTTCGCCCCTTCGCGTCCGGGGGATAAAAAAAAGAGAGAGCCACGAAAGGCCGGCAGCGAAAGTAACCGCGAGAGGGAGTCCGGCTTAATTAGAAGCGAAGAGCCGAGCGGATGGGGTAATTGAATAAGCGGGCGAGCTGTCCTGGGCACCTTGCGTGTAGTAAGCCCGTGGACTGTGAAAGTATATACGGAGGATACAAACACGCCGAGTTTGAAATGGTTAGCGGCCAGGGGGGGAATGAAGAGGAAAGGGGGATCTGTTTGAAGTACCGTCCCGGGCCGATGCGACGATAGAGTTGCAGTTGGGAATGTTTTGGGCGCCTTTCCTGTATGCCTTTTTTATAAGCACCGAATCGCTGCGTTGATGCTGAAATTAATTAAGCGCGCCCTTCCTTTCGTAATGACGTGCCCACTTCAGCCAGATAAAAGTTCGAGGAGGACTCAAGTTGGTGTATAATATATTTGGGTATGATAGTTACTATATTAATGGAAGGATCAATGCGCGTTGAGGTATTTTTTTCGGTTTCTTGTGAGAAACTGATGCTCGTGCAAAGGGATGAAGAGCGTTTTTTGTCAGACAGAGGAGCTTACTTTTATGTTTTTAAGTTTTCGTACATGTTGGGCCCAAAATAAATCATGGAAACATTATTCCTTCGTAAAAAACTGACGGATCACGTGACGAAGTCTGTTTATTTGAGATTTGATTGGTCTATGCTGATCACGTGGTTCGTTCATAAAAGAAAAATTTTATAGTAACAGTTTAAGTAGTGATGAAACCAGTAGAAGGAATAAAAATAAAAATGATTTGTTATTTGTTTTCAAAAACTAATTTTTAAGATTTTACTTTAAAATTTTAAGAATACAAAGGTTTAATCAAACTCTGAGGAAGGGGGAGTGATAGTTAGCAGTGTGAAAGGGGCGCAGCCCCTTTTACTTTTAAAAATTTATCAACTCCGCATGTTATATTATTGTAAACGACTGATGATTTGCATAAGTAGTAGCTTTTGTAATTAAATCTTTGTCATACGCTAATTTTATACTTCGTAGCGAAGGTTCGTTTCATTTAACACGAACTAAATTTGACTGTCCGACCAGATACTGTTTCAAATATGAAACAATCTTACAAATAACAAATATGCGTAACAATCAAAATAAATGAATAAATATAGTTCGCACAAACTTACTGTTTTTCGTGAAGGTGACGATTTTCATGACTTTTCCGTAGCGGGTGAAAATCTGAAACAGAAAAAACACAGCGTTACAGTAAAATTTCCATACACTGCATGCATTGCAACATACATATACCCTGGAAAACAAGACAGCAGCAACATGAATGATATGTTATACCACCCATACTGTTAAACCTCATATTCATCTATCAATTGAGCTCGGCTGATTGCATTGTTCGAATTCGCGTGCAAATACCCAACTATATACGTATACACAACCGGTACCCGGGGATGTACACCCCAGCCGAACCCGCATATATACGAGTTTTGTTTGTTTGAGGCAAACCGATAATCGTGTCATTGCTGCGAGTGCAAATATTTACACCCTTCAACCCTACACCCCCTTTTCATCCCTTTTATTGTAACGTGAACTTGTACGATATTTATTATTTGTACGCACATACACATACGATACAACGAGATTTTACGTCGTTCAACTTTTTTTTTTTTACTCTTGTTTCCCGTTTTTTTTGCATGTTTTTCCGTAGTACACCAATATTGTCCGAATGCTCTAAATTTTTTGCCCGATTTTATTGTTCATACCGTAAAAAGCTCAAAAATTGGTCTGATTCCAATAACAGTTAAAATAATTTTTTAATACATGCTTATAATAGTTGTCCGAAGTAGAATAGACGGTATTCTCCACAATAAAAAATACAGCCTACAAACCAGGCGGCAGCGATTATTTTGAAACGTTTAATATTTTTTTATACCTTCAAGGGAATTGATATTCTATTTATAGTACAATTCGGTCGAGATCAGTAGAATAATTTATGGGTTTCCATAAAAAAATCCATATTGAAGAATTAGATGACATAACGTACGCATGGGAAAACTCATTAGCTATTTTAATGAAACGACGCTTCGAAATTTCGAATAGATCGTGACCTGTTCGTACACGAATGTATTTTGCTTAAAAGTAAAAAAAAAAAAAAAAAAAAAAGATGGTTTAATTGAATTGCCGACCAAATGCATAAATTAATTGCACTTGCGTCCAAAAAACATTTACCAAAGTCGAATACGAATGATGATTCCTCCCATCTTTTATTCTAAAAAAAAAAAAAAAAAAAAATCCGCGAAAGAAACGGATATAGTCACACTTGACTTTTTACATTTACTACAGTATACACTGGCATGCGCTTTCCCAAAAATTTCCACCTCTTACTGCTGCACCGTCCCGTATAATCCGCAGCTCATATTTACATTTTTCCCTATCTCTCTCCATTGCCATTCCCGCATCGCGTCTGCTTTCCGCAATAACGCCCAACCACGCAAGCAGTCATTGTTTTTCGCACGTGTGCTTTGTGTACACATCCATACACACGGGGTGTACGGCTTTTCTGAAAAAGCGCGTCGTAGGTATTTGCACAACGCTCGCGTAAGTGCAGCACCCGAGCCGAGTCCCTTGGGAAATCAAGTCAACGTTCGACAGGTGCCGGTATGTATATATACGAGCGGCGCGAAGGTGTGCAAGTTCGGGAGCTGGCTATCGCTAATATTTTATGCTCTCGACGTGAGGGGCTCTTTCCACTTTTCTCTTTCAACGTTGACAACAACGGGGGGCTCGGACGTGCCAATTGAATGAAAAATAGTGACCAGCGTTTTGTAGAAAATCGGGTGGTTGCCGAACCCCTCGCTGCGAGGACGATTGGTTTGCTGCGCTCGAGCGATTCCGTGAAAAATTGTCTCTTATGATACTCACGTGGTTTTGAGGAAAATTGTTAAATGGCTGTTTGCACTAACCACGTGGTTGGAAAAAATAGTTGTGGGTAACTTAGAAAAAGTTAATGCGAAGTTTTTTTTTTTGAACAGCTTTATAATGTAAAAAAAAGAAATTAGGTGCATGGAATGTAGGAAGTTTAAATAAAAATTTTAAAATAATGTATTAACTGTATTTCCAAATAAAACTTGTTGGATCGAAAAATAATATTGAAAACAAAAGTTGTAAGTAATAGAATTTCGTAAGATTTTATTTGTTTCATTGATTATATATTACTGTTGATTTAAATATTATTTGTTGTGCATATAAGTGGCGCCTTAAAAATAATGCAAATCAAAGAGTACAACTTTTTTGAAATCAGGTCAACTAATCTGTGTTTTAGAACATTTAAGATAATAATAATAATAATAATAATAATAATAATAATAATAATAATAATACCACTGATGTACCACCAACTTTTTTTTTTCAGAACCATATGACTGATCGTTTTTTGTGGATTTTTTCGTATAACTCGACTCTAGAGCTCTACAAAGGATTTCCATCACGTCGCAATTTTTAATTCAGTGGGTTATTTTTTCCTTCTCTCTTGTTCCGTTGGTAAAGTAATGCAACGTAATTCTAATAACCAACGAAAACAACAACAAAAATACAAACCCATGATATTTTTTCCTTAAGAGGATTACAAAGGATAAATAATAATAATATATGGAAAATTAAGGAGATGATTACTTAATTTTAATACAAAGGCATACAGTAGTTGACTATGGGATAATCCTTATAAAAAGGTGAGACATTTTTAAAATTAGAATACGAAGACTTAGGCACAGACGACTTGATATAAATTTTTAAGCCTTAAAATAAAATGCATCATTTTTATTATTTAAAAATTTTCATTTAACTGTGACTCCGGATGCAATGCATGAAAAAAATTTCCTTCAAACAAAAAATTACAGCATTTTTGTGGCTTTTTGACGTCACCGACTCGAACTCCTAAACGATTACATGTTTTATCTTGTCATTTTTTTTTTTTTTTTACGGAGGGAAAAAAAACAGGTCCACTATTTTTCGATAATTTACGTGACAGGCCAAACGGATTGCATCTCGAAAAATCGGAATTGTAAGTAGGTATCCCAGTTGTCTATCCGAAACTCACCCCAGGATGCAACAACAATCGCACACCTATACCGGGTGTAAGTACACGCACAAGACACTCGAGCAGACAAATATGCAGCCAAGCCATACAGTTCGGAAAACAACACGCCGATACCGCGGAGAAAGAGCGAAGGAGCGCTCGACGACACGTTCGACGTTAATTCGCGGCCAAACCACCCGCAACGTGCGACGCAAATTAATCCACGTCATATACCATTTGACAGAGCAAGGAGAGGGGGGTGGGACAGTACCCACCGCACGCGTCAATTACCCCCTAGCTGCCTTCGTTTCCGGCTGCGTGCTTGCGCCACGGAGCTGACGTGTATTATAACGCGCGCTTATTTCTCCGCGGCACGAAAATTAGCCTCGCGTCAGCGTACACGTAACAAAGGTATACGGGTGTTTTTTACACCTCACCGAGACACACTTCACCAAAAACGCGCGAACCGTGGAAAATTGTTTTCCAAGCGCGCGGAAACGAAAAAGATGCATCCTTCACCTCTGCATTTCAATCACTCGTCCCAAGAGAGAGAGAGAGAGCCCCGGGGTGGTGGCGTCAGCTTTTGCACTGTATACGCGTGTGTGGGCGACAGCAAACCATGTATGTGTACACATCAGCGACAGGGGCAAATTATCGATTGACAGCGGCCGCGGGGCGGTTATTGTTAATTCGCGCGTTTCGTCGGGCCGTACGGGGATGTATTTGGCCCCTGGACGTGTGTGTGGGTGACGCGCTTCGGATAGCTCACGAGTGTACAATGTGACCCGAATATAAGGCCGAGTTTTACTCCATTGGAGATTGGTCTTCTGGTGGGTTACGGGGGTTTTCGATTAAAGGGACCATGAAGATGTCAAATCGAAAGGTATTTAGAAAGGGACGAATTCGGGCGCGAGCAGAAATAGTCAAGAAGAATCTATGTTGGTTTGAGACTTTTTTTCAAATTCTTTTTCCTATAACACCATCGTAATGTACATACATACGCATCGTTGGAACCGAACAAAAGAGGGATTTTTCGAGAGTTTTTCATCACGTTGCTCCGATGTTTTATTTTATTTTATTTTTTTTCATTCGGCGACCAATAAATAGAGCACATATACGTAAAATAGACGTATGAGTTAAAAAATCGGTATCTCTCGCACTGGTACAAAAAAAAGCAAAAAAAGGCTCCAGTCTCATTCATGGCTACACAGAGAACAAAAGCCACGCACGTGACTACGGCGCAGAGTTTTTTTATTTTCCATCTCGTGATTACAGATCGAGGGACGAAAATAACCGAGTGTGAATTTTCGACGAACACGTATAAGCGTGACGCGGCGGTGCGTACATATTTGAGCGCGCGAGCGAGGGGGGGGGGGGGTTAATCAAAAACGAAGGCGGTAAAGCTCACGCGCTACGTATACAGAGAGTATATTTATAGTAGATGGGCGAACCGTTGTTATTGCAAGGCGAGACACTCGCGGAGGAGGGGGAGGGTTGCTGTCGGAAATTCGGGGGGGGGGGGAGGCTTTAATGAGGAAAGATTTAGAGCGCGTCCCAGGTGGTCTTCGGAGCCCTACGCCACAGTGACTATGTGCATGGGCGGGTGTGTGGGTGTAATGCCGAGGCAGCTCCAGCGTGGAGCTGCCATTAGCGATGCTGATGCCTGTGGGTGGTGGTGGTGGTGGTGGTAGGGTACGTGCGCGCTTTTGTTTTCTCGATGCGCGGGCGTTAAGTGTGTACGGATCGATGCGGGAATAACTCGGTGGCGCGAGGGATGGCAAGGTGTGACGATTCGGGTTACTTTTTTGTTTGTTTTGTTTTTCAGTACGGTGTACGAAAAATTCATTGAAATCGGGTGGAAATGATGGTTTTCGTGATGTCGATTTATCCAAAGGGATAAGAAAAGCAACCAAGAAAATTAGTGAAAACATTTTACCACGAATCAGTAGTGAAACTGTTTTGAGTGGTGCCGAAGAGTTAAATGTAACGTTTAGTACCTACACTCCTTTACATGTTTTTATGTGATCTACTGGTATCCAATATTACAATGAAAAACCAATTTCTGAAATATTTAGCATCATCAAAAACACTACATTAGTTGTTAATTTTAATTACATTTCATAGAAGTACTAAAAACCATAACATGTACACGTGTGACCTCTTTAAACTAAAAAAGAAAATTTTTTAATATTTTCATGATAGTATAAGTATATCTACAACTTTGCATTGGTAGTTTTTCATTAAAAAATAAACATTTATTTTCACGAAAGCGATCAAGTTAAACAAACTTCATGATTGCTGTGTTTCTTTTTTGACGAAACCACGACATTGACGTACCCAATGATGTACAAAAAAAAAAAATTTACTCGAAAACGTTTTAACATTAACGCCAAACGTCCCCTCCTGGAAGCTTTACGAGTTTCATTTGCATCCAATATAAACGATACGGCCCCTCGGCGTCGTAAACCCTCCGAATTTCAATATTAGCCCAAGTGAGCAAGCAGCCAACATTAGCAGAGTCTCCTTCAACCCCCGCCCCCAGGCGTCTTAATACAAGATTCCAATAAAATTTCACGCAACGCAGGACCTGTATACCCAGCACTATGTGCATACCACCACCCTCTCTCTTCTAGCGTAAGAATAATAATGATAAAACAAAAATTTGCTTCTACAGCCGCGTAGCTCTCAAAATTTGAATGCTGCATATAAATGTACGCATTTACTCGCTAGTTCCTACGAAACGAGGAACAATCCCCTGTTTTCGTCGTCTTCTCCTTCAATTAATCGAGATCCCCTCGAAGAGCCATTGCACGGGACACGGTTTTTCCCCAAAATCATCCGACGCTCTCCGGCGTTCAACTTCTCGACCCCCTGTGTTTTATAATACAAGGTACAAGTGTATAAATCAAAGCAGACTCCATGTTTTTTTTCGAAAGTTTTTCAGGGATAATTAACTACGCTCCTGAGATACAACAAGGGGAGTCTCTGCTGCCGTTGTTGTTTCTGTCGAGTACAAGATCATGGATGGAAAATTAGTTTCTAAGGCTTATTTCGATCCTTGGAGGGATACTTTCAGTCGCTTGTTACGCTGAGTTATGATACAACGGCTGTTGATTGTCACGAAACTTTATTTTTTTAATGGAAATTTATAAAAAAAATTAGCTCACGATGAGGTTTTTTTTTGCCTTGGCTTTTAAGGCTTTATGAAAGTCGAATGACTGATGAAAAGACTTGCACGTCAGTATGACCGCGCTGTGATGACCACAATTATTGATGGAAATTGTAAAAATTAATCAAAAGTAAAATTTCTCTTCGACGAGAACAGCAGCAACAGCATCATCCTCTTGAAACAACGGGTCCATTATTAAATCAGGGTATATTACGGAAAACGCCTAGCAATGGTTTATCATTCTATGTTTCGCTAATCTTCTTTAGTTCGGAAAAACAAGGACACACCAACGAAAACAAAAGAATGTCACTGTACTGATGGTCCGTAACGGCAACGAGGGAAAAACAAGCCTCTCACGAAGTACATCGCGTCCACGTCTTTCCATACCGAGGAATAACCAGGGGATGATCGCTCGATGGACTTCCAAAACGTCGCACACAACGGTAGTCAGGTAATAAGTAGACTTAAAAGATCGCCAGGCGCCTCCTGGTCGACTAGATGGAGAGGGTAGGCCGAGCGCGTAATCAGCTATGGAGATTAGCGAAGTAAGCCAACGAGGGCCTTCCCTTCCCTCTTTCCCCTCTTGGCAACTGGCTGCGGGGTTAAACGAACGTAAATGTATTTATTTATGAATAATGCATTTTACGCGGGTTACGAGATGGACTTTTTAGAATCCGAGATCATTCAGGGCTCTGCGTCGCGGCAAACATGATTTCCCGTGCACTGCACACATCGTAAATCGAAAAGAAAAAGCCACGGTACATTACAAGAACGAGTGACTTTGCGCGACGACTAGATCCCGGTGTGATTATTTTATGCCGTAACATCGGAGGGAGGGCAAATATGTGTTCCGATGCATTTTTCACGTGCTCCCGCGGTCGGACTTATGTGTATCCTTTTTGCAACCTATACAGCATTACAGGAACGCTAACCAACGTGGTTTTGCACTTTTCGAGGGGCTTCGGCTTACTGAAACATTTATACTTGGGAACGAAAATTTCCGCGCAAAACTCTAGGGGTGGCGTTTCGAAATAATTTTTCCCGAAATACCAGCGGAGCGCGGGATGAAAAATTAACGCGGCTGCATGATGCAAGCGCGAGGATATTTGAGTTTTTCAGTCCTCGGGGGTAAGTCGGCGAAGCGAAAGTCGATCCCCCTGCGGTGCCTGGCTCTCGTCAGTAGTACAGGCGCGCGTATGGTCAGACGCGAAAGACAAAAGAGTCCATTGTACTACGGTGTGCCGGGCTTTTCGGGATGACCGGCTCGGGGGGGAGGGACAACCCCGATGAAAAATGCATGGGCGGCGTGTGTGCCGTTTAGCGGGCGCACGTTTCCTCCCCATAGCTTTCGTGCGAGCGAATTATTAACTAGTGGCTTGCTCGAGCGAAGCACGAGGCCGTTCAACTATTCAGCTTTTCGTGATGTATTTCACCACGAGGTTCCAACTCCCAAGTTTTGATGGTGCTTCGTCGTTGTTGCTTTTAAGCTTCTCGTGAGACGATTTGTGGGTGCCGGCGAGCGTGTGTATAAGTATGAAATATTTCGAAAAAAGTTTTTCGATGTAGCGTTTTGCCACGGGTAAGTGGAACTATGGGTACTTGGATATCCATTATGCGTGATTTAGAGGAACGAGTATATTTGTTTTTTATCAAATATGTATGGTGTGTTACTGGGTAAAGTGACTCAATGGTATTTCATACATTTTTAGTTTATTTGATGCGAAAAAAATTTTTTTTTTCAATTTTTACCTGGTAGAGGATGTCAAGGGAAATGGGGTAGACCATGTGCTCAATGATGACGCGCAAAACGGTATTTGGTCCTCCTTGAGTGTCGTTTCCTTGGAGTTGACCCTGTCCCGAGGACTGCATATTTGAGTTCTGAAACAAGAAAAACATGAACAGTGAGTATTAAGGTGGACTACTTACAAAGAAATCGTGATATCTAAGGTGGTAAGAAATTTTTTGGTGATGAATTATTTTAAATAATTTTTTATAGATCTGCATTGTAACGAACCTCAAGCTATTAGAATGTTTTAATATACACTGGGAGAATCGTATAAAAAAACTGTAGATTAGTAATTTTAATAAAATAAAAGTTTAATTCCGCTGAAACTCTAGTGAGTTTGATAATAACTCAAGTCACATTAAAAAAACATAACAACAATCAACAGCATTGCTATGTCGTAAAAATATTTTATACAAACAACAACTATTTTCACCATACCTTTAATCATATCGTGAGGTATACAAAGTTAAAAGTGAATAAAGTAGTAAATATTAACTCATGTATACGTTAATAATTATACTGATTATTTGTCTAATTATTCAGGTGATTCAACAGGACATTAAAAATTTCTATAATGTGAGACAAACTTGATGCAAGTGCAGTGTTTACTAGGAACAAACATCTGTAGATCATGTAATTGTCAACGTTGAAGTTGAAGTAATGAAATACGTACAATTAGTTTTTTCTGTAGTCGACAAAACAGTTTGAGCGCTACTTACTTATCTTTTCATACGTTAGTTTTGGAAAAAGAAAAAAAAGGAAAAGTATGGGAGAAAAGGAGAAATATTTGTACGCGTCTTCGACGTGACAACACACGCACACTTACAGCTTTCGGGAACTCTCAATGCCGTCGCTAACTCGGTACGCAAACCGAATAAGATCCTTACTTGGGATCACAACACCACAACCACCACTACGAAATACACCCTTTGTGGCTAACATCTCAAACAGCCTTCTTTATACTTTTTTAATAATAGCCCCAAAAGTTGACGCATAGAGCCTCGTACACTTTTTTGCGTCCAATAGATGGTCTCCATTGTCTCTCACCCCACCACCTGCGGATTCATTTCGAAGACTCTTATTCATTCCACCCGCAAATTGCGCAAAGACGAAAGGCGAACGAGGTCGCCGGGTAAGTTTGATTAAAGGAAAAAGAAGTCGCGCGCCTCGAGGCTAATTAAGACTTTTCGCCCACGCCCTCCCCGACTTTTTGTTACGGTCGACGCTTACCCTGCTCGCGGTGGATCAGCTCGTCCCTCCTGGCATTTGTATAAAAAGTCAACTTGGTTAGTTTGTTGTTTCTTCGGAATAACCCTGGAGGGGGGGCTTTTAAATTGGCGTGGCGTTTAAAATCCTCCGCCGAGCAGTGCCGGTGCATTGTTCGACAAGGCAGTTTATTGGCGCGACTTTTTGCTCGAGCGTCGACTTTTCGAAACTTTTAACAAAAAAAAATGGTTAGACCCTCGGAAAAAAAACAGACTCCACACTGGATACCAAATTTGATTAACCAGTCGCTACAAGTCAAAGGCTGATTCCACTCGGCTCCACTGCGGAGTAATTTTATCCTTTCCTGATCCATACCGTGTACGCGCGTTGGGAAGAAGGTGCACCTTGCCATCTCTGGGGGTAACAACGAGGTGACGGGATACCCCCCAGAGGTTGATTTGAGGAAATCGGAGCCGTGATTCGCCTACATCAGTTTTCTTCGGCTAATGAAAAAATGTGATGTACTGTACACATCATGAAAATGCCTCGGGTACACTGCCGCGAAACTTTCGAAACTCCGAGAGTAGAAGGATTGTGCGCTCGAGAGTAAACTCGATCCTGCACAGAGAAAAAGACGTTGATGATGGCTTCCGCAAGTTGGAGGTGTATATGCGCGATAAGATGCGAGGGAAAAGCAACGGACGCGAAAAGCTGTTAATTAACCTAACGACATCGAAGCGGCTTTACCTCCACTACCCCCCTTGAGAGGTCCCACGATGCTTCTGTTCCGTCTTTATTTCGCCGTCTTCGGCATCGGGGAAGTTGTCGACGCGCAAAATTGCCCGAAATTTTCGCTCTTGGCGCTCCCGAGTTGGAACGGTTAATTGCCCCGCTGCCTTTGCCGCGCGAGCGCGTATACACACAAGTTGCGAAATTTTAATTGACGATTGTTACAATCCCCGGAATGACGATGATTAAAGGGGAGTCGCCAAGTTCTGTTTATGCAAGGACCGTTAACGCAGCTACAGTCTCTCTCTTTTTTTTTTTTTTTATTTTAACAAGGAAGTGCAAAATAGTTTTTCCAGGCGCAATTAGTACGAGTTGGCTGACCAAAGCGCCCTCGTATCACTGATTTTTGCGTTGTACGATGCGCAACTCAAAACGATGAGAGTTCAAGAAGCAACGCACGGCAACCCAATGGCCTCGTTCGCTATTGTTGTCAATTGAGCGAGGCAGCGAGAGAAAAGCAGCCGTATGAAGGAGGTCAATCGTCGCGTACAAAGGGAGAGGGTGGGAGGAGCCGTGGAAGATAAAAATGAGCCTTTCAGATTGGAGTTATTTAACAAACAAACAAACTAACGCGTCGCTGGTAAAGGGAAACTCGGAAACAAACTAGAGAGATTCAGGCTTTGTGTGTGTGTGTGTGTGTGTGTTTACTGAAAAAAAGAGGGTACATCGTATGAGTGGACGACGACGTGGCTGCATGTTAAACGAATGAATGGTCAAAGGGAGGGCTTGAGCGCGGTAGAGGCACGTGAGGAACAATGAAAACTAGTCGGTCATTTTCCGCGAGGGAGTTTTGTGTTTGTTTTGTATACGTGTGCGCTTGATGCTGGGCAGGACTTGGTTTGGATAGTAGGTCATCGGACGGAGGGACGTGCACGGGGACAAAATTACTTTTCTACGCAGGGATTATCTGACCAAAAAAACGTCGATCAAAAAAGTTTCAGTCACTGTAGTACTTACAGTAGCAAAACGTATTGTTCATCCAGTACTGTGAGTCGTTTATAACACATGAAATATTGAGGAAAAAAAAAAGTACAGCAGCTTCCAGAAGCTAGAGAAGTCAAAAACCTTTATCTCTTTTATCTCTTCAATGCGAAACAGTACAGTCAAACGCGCGGATGCTTTTCGGTCTGTTTCGAGGCCTTTGTCACCGACAATGGTATGCGGTACACGCGTCTCGGCAAGAAAACGCTGAGGAGGGAGTGGTGGTGCCAGAATATACATTGAAATGGGGAAAATGTGTTTGTGCTTTGCCAAATACGAGAAGACAGTCGTTTATAGGCATACGCGCAAGCGCTTATTGTGTATGCACTTATACTTGGGCTCGTATATACTTTGGGGCGTATGATGTGCAGGAATATGTGTTATTGTTTTGAGGTTGAATACTGTAGACTGTTGTTTTGTGCATCTTTACCTTACGCTATTCAACTTGATACGATTGAAATGCCCATCAGCTATGTACCAACAAACGAATGGGCAAATTTTTTATGCAAAAAGCTTGATTCAATTGTCACATCGAAATTTAATAGACTGGCGAATCTTCTTTGTTTGCGCTACTGGCGCTATTATATACGATAATGCGATTCCGATTGCGTACGCGACTTGGATCAGCGTCCCAATTATCAACGATAGCTTGATATAACATTTTTTTTTCTCATATTAATATAAATTGGAATGGTATGTCACACGTGAGACAATGAAAGCGATCTAACTGAACTTGTCGATATGTTTGATGTAAAAAATAGCTTGGACCACATCGACAACTGCGTACTCGGATAAAAATGATGATTGGGATAGAACTGCACTCCAAAAGCGAAGAAGCTGACCATGAGTATAGCACAGGTACGTGGAGAGGGTCGAATGATTTCTCGCTGGTGTGTTATAGCGCAATAAAAGCTGGCTAGTGGTTTTGGGCCAATATTTGAAGGGGTGAGGAGGGAAGGAAAGACACTTTCTGGCGTGCGGGGGAAAGGAACCGAGAACGAATGGCTCGTAAAATAAACTACGAGCAGGACGAATCGTAAAACGCGGGGGTGCTTATTTTTCGGTGTACCTAAATGAGCGTTGCGTGTTTAGGTCCGCGGAAACGTTTGTTGAGACGATGTTACGTGTAACGAGTTACTTTTTCGAGGAAAAACTTTCCTCTCTCTAGTGGTAGGTTATAAAGAAATAAGGGAGTAAATTACTTTGGCCTTTTTGCCATGGATTGAAAAATTTATATTTGCTTAAGGAAGTTCACTCGCTAAGAGAATTAACGTCAATATATTGATAATAATTTGAACAGAGGTTAATTAGTGTATGAAAAACCTTCGATTCAAATTTTAAGTCCCTTCATGGCTTATAAAGTGAGATATAGTTAATTTTATTATTGAACTTCTAACGTACAGTCTTATGAGAATCAGTAGTGTTCTGATACATAACCTGCAATATCTGGATAATCGACGTGAAGATTTGATTGGAAATTTTTTAGAAAATAGCTAAAAACTTGGTGATTACGTAACTATAGTCTCATCTTCACCTGTGGCTTATGTAATGAGCAATAAATTAGTGAATAAAATAATTCTCCTTCGAAAGCTACCGTTAGTACGTCGCGTTATATCTGTATATATAGCCATGCAGGTTACAATACTGCTGATCTTATGCGTCAAAAAGGTTAGGTACGAGGGAACTCCCTTAAAAAAGCTCATGTGGCTGTTTTTTGTCTTGAAAATTAATAATCAGAGCAAGTGCTGTACAATAACATGATAATATATTCATGATATTCTTGTTGGCACACGTGTGTAATAATAGCGTGAATGACAAAATAAGTGATCAGAAAAACTGATAGTTTCGGACACCGCCAACTTTTTTGCGTTTTTACACCGCACCTCCCACGGCCCAAGAAAAAACACATATGTTTAACGATTCAATTTCTTAAATAACGCACATTTCAAGTACTTTAAAAAAAATAACTTCACTAATAAAACTAAATAAACACGGACTGATCTTGTTTCTTCATTAAATTTCTAATTGACAAAATGTATAGGTAAAGGTTCTCGCTATTTCAAGTGCGAAAAAAATCCTACAAGTGAGAGGGAAAAAAGAAAAAAAGAAATGCGAG